TACTGGAAGAATTGAACGCGGAACTTTAAAAGTTAATGATGAAATTGATACTATTGTTATTAATATTGGTCGTAAAAAGGTTGTTGTTACTCGTATTGAAATGTTCAGAAAATTGTTAGATGAGGCACAAGCAGGTGATGACGTTGGAGGATTATAACGTGGAGTTAAGAGTGAGGAAATTCAACGTGAACAAGTTATTGCTAAACCAGGATCAATCACACCATGTACTAAATTTGAAGGCGAAGTTTATATTCTAACTGATCAAGAAGGTAGACGTCATATTTCATGCAATTCAGCATATCGCCCAAAATTTTATTTTCGGGGAATTGACGTTACAGGAATTATGGAAGACTTTATCAATGAAGGTGAGAGATCACAATTAACTATGCTGTGTGATTATGTTACTATTACTGTTGGATTGATTCATCCAGTTGCCCTTGAGAAAGGTACTCGATTCTCAATCCGTGTAGGTGGAAGAACTGTTACGGTGCTGGACAAGTTACAGAAGTTATCAAATAATAACCTTAAATAAAAAATCTTTATTCTCAAAGGAGAATAATTAAACCGTAAATCAGTTCGTCATTATGATACTAGTAAAGTTACTAATGACAGTAAAATTAACGTTATTCCTAACTATTTAGCGTCATACCCCTTCTTTATATAGTCCAGAACCATGAAAAGTTTTAGGTATTAGTGATTCTAAAATTAAAGCACAATTGTAAACCAATCACAAATAATCAACAACAAGTAAGGGCTGGCTTGTGTTTATTTACTTTAGTAAATTACAGAAGTGAGAATTTCAATGCTAGTAATAAATTATTTGTTGATACAGTTAGGAAAGGACGCAACTTAACAAAACCACAATACGAAATTTGTAGGTCAACATTTAGTAATTCCTTTGACTATGACACATGGAAACACAAATAAATCATTGTGCACAAAGTCAAACATTTATTTCATTACAAAATCTTTTATTATCACTTACTGCCCACGAAATTGTTAATTTTATACTTGGTGGTTCTAGTGAACAACTTTTGTTAATTTACTTAGAACCAAATAAGATTATAGAACCGAATAAGAGTAATGTTAAAATTTTAGTGTCTGCTGGTTATGGTTATCCACCAGGAACTAAAATTATTAAAAGTGAAATGAGTGAAATCAGTACACTTATCAAGTAAGTATATTAGAAAAGGCACTACAATGGAAATATTAAAAATAGATAACTTAAATATTGAATTAAATGTTAATTTTATTGGTAAATTTTTAAATAAGACTGAATATCCAATTCTTATACCTGATCTTGAAACTTTTCGTATTTCATTACATAAGGAAAAGAACAATTCGTATGCTCATGACCTTGATAATATTTTTTCAATTGCATTATTAGTTATTGATAAAAAGAAGGTTTAAGTGTTAAAAATTTGTAGCATAAAGAATTACAAATATTTGCTAAAACTATTATTCTACAGCCAAATATTTCAAATGAAGATTTAAAACTTGTAAAGCATCAACGACAATTTAAAAAATTTTTAAGCAATAAGCTATTAAAATATAAAGTTATGTAGAGATACGGGGGGAACACACGAATAATACTAAAACTATTTATTAATCCTAACAACACGTTTATACTTCGCAACACTAATACACCTTTTTTCACAACTCTCTCTCTCTGAACTCTCCTATACTACACGTACCGCGACCGACTCCACACCCTCTCTCTCTGTCACTGTCCACTCACGCCCTTGCATCCCTATTTAAAACCATCCATTCTATCCTCTTTCATACCTATTCTCTCTTTCCAATCACACTTTCCCACGCACTCCTTGCAATCTTACCCTCTGCGGGTCACTCAGCCCAAACACTAAAACGCATTCCTGAAGCCACTCGATACATTCATAAATATCCAGTTCACACGATCCTAGCGCACGATCATTCATCCTTTCGCACGCACTCTAGATAACCCGCTAATCCTGCGATACCACACTCGGCCCTCCTGACTTGAACATCTGTCCTCAGATGTTCCGCTAACACTGTCGCCGTTTACTGCCGCACTTCTTTAAAAAAAAGCATTGTCCAATTTCCCTGCCAACTTGACATTGTCGTAAACGCCCGATTTGGTACGAGACAACCACGGTCAAAAACCATTCTGCACCTCTCGCCGTCGCTGTACCAATATCTTCTCCGGGTGCTGATAGTTGTCCCGGTGCTTCGCCTCCTCGTCTTCACCCTTGTCCTCATCCTTGTCTTTGTCCCTATCTTCGTTTTCGTTGTCGCTCTTCTCATCGCTCGCACCATCGCCCTTTCCATCATCCTCGCTCTTGTCTTCGGCCTCGCGGTCTTCGCCCTTGTCCTCGTGATCTGCACCCTCGGCTTCATCGTTTCTCGCGCTCTTGTTCTTCCAACCGTCTTCGTCCTCATCATCTTCATTCTCGTCTTCGTTCTCGTCTTCGTTCTCGTTCGCGCCATCGGTCTTTTCATTGTCCTCGTACCCTTCTCGCCTTCGTCCTTGTTTTTGTCCTTGTATGTGCCCTCGTCTTCGTCTTCATCGTCGTCCTTCCCGTCGCTCGCGCCATCGTTCCTTCCATCGTCCTCGTCTTCGTCTCCATCGTCGCCCTCGGCCTCATGATCTTCTCTCTCGTCTTCTTTCTCGTTTCTATTGTTGCTATTCCCGTCGCTCGCGCCATCGTTCTTTCCGTCGTCCTCGTCATCGTTTTCATCGTCGGCTTCATCGTCGCTCGCGCTCTTGTTCTTCCAATCGTCTTCGTAGACATCTTTGTCTACCGTCTTTCCTCCTATCGCGACTGCCAGAACCGCTTCCTGCATCTCTTCACCGTCGCTTACTTGCGGCAACCCGTTCGATCCTGCGTTCCTCTTCTGGATCGCGTCGGTCTCCCCGTTCCCTGCGTGATAAAAATCCAAATATTTCTCACCTTCGTCCTTACTTTGGTTCTCACCTTCGTCTTCAACTTCGTCTACAACTTCGTCTACAAGTTCGTCTACAACTTCGTCTACAACTTCGTCTTCAAGAGTTTTTCTATTTTCAGGGATTATGATGCGAGACGAATCAACCTGATTCACTTCTGGCTCAATATCAACACTCGAAACCACCGAATTACCAACGCCTCCGAGATCCTTGATCGAAATTTCTCCCCTTTTGAAATTAACTTCTACCGTTTCTAGATATTCTGTTCCTATTATTAGGTCCTGCGACGTTAATGCGTCCGGTACAACATGTACATTGATGGGATAAGCTGTTCGATCTATTGTAATTATCGTTGAGGACTCCCCCAAAGAACGGTTATTTCCTTCCCCAACACCGCGAAATTCCAAAACGCTATTTCTTAATCTAGGTGCGCCGATTTTAACGTAATGTTTCGCTCGCATTAAATTTAAATCGCTACCGGTGTCTATCAACGCTACTAACCTATATTCTCCCATTTGGACCTCCTTTAGGCACTTTTCCCTTGCGCCTTCAGATATATTGTACACATAGCTACGTAGCTCGTTCTTACATTCAGACGCAATATGTCCATGCTCTCTACACTTAAAGCACTTCATTCCTTTACCCTTCGTAGGGCAATTGGCTCTCGAATGGTTGCTGTTTCCGCATAGAAATCATCGCCGTACAGGTTCTCGTGTGCCGGTTCCACGGATTGTTCTTCTTGCCCCCTCTTCGGGTCGCCGGCTCCGCAATCTAGAATTTTCTTTCATAGCTTCGTAGTATGTGAACTTCTATCTCAGCTCTTGGATGCTTTTGGCGCCATACAATATTATTTTATTAACCTCGTCGTCTTGGATGCCGTCGATGATATATTTTATGATTGCCGGTGTCTCCATATCCGCTCGGTCTGCGATGTCCAGCATTCGATAGACATACTTAGCACACGTTTCATCGGGCTTCTTCTTCGTACGCGATAGCTCGCGATGCACTTAGTATGTATCCATGGTTTTCGAAAATTCAGCTATTAACGACCGTTTCATCTCTGCCCAACTTCGGCAACGCTTTTCGTACTTAACGAAGAGTTTTGCTGATCCCCGTAACAACCGCTTTGCGTAGAAAATCTTTTGTATTTCATCCCATCTATATAGCCTAGATGCTTCCTCAAATTCTTGAACCCAGCTGCGTGCGTTTGTCTCCCCGTCACCGACAAATGTATCCATGCACTCTTCTATGTCTCGGAGGGTGAACACATACGTTCTTCTCATGCAGTCGCGTATACCCTCCCCTTCAATTTCTTCTTCGTCTTCATCCTCCTCCTGGCCATCCCCAATCTTGGACATTATGTCAGTCCTTAATCGATCCTGCAACTCTTTCTTGCCTCCAGTTATTTTCAGTTTGCGTTTCTCCAACTCCCGCCTCAATTCAGACACTTTCATTTGTTTCACCTCTTCCAACTTTTCATTGCATTGATCTCTCTCTTCACAGTACACCACTGTATTGTCTAACGTGTCGACCGTTTCCATTTTAATTAACAGAAATTTATATTGACCAATTTTGACTGTAGTTCCTCTTCAAGTTTGTAGTTTTTATCGTCACTGCACAATTGCTCGTCTCAATCCCGGACGAGCCCCCAAATTGT